AGTAAACCATAACAACGTATCATGTGGGGCCGCCAACATCTTACTGACCAATGACGTGTGCGGGTCAGAAGGTGTTATTGGTTACTAGAACACTAGTGAGTAGGAAAATATTAGTATATTTTTCAGATTTATACTATGAATAGGAAAGCATTAGAGCCTCTGAAAAGTCAACTCTGTGTGTAAGAGAGAGTGAAAGCCTCTCTCAGATTGCCAAATCACCTTCAGAGCTGACAACAGGGGCACATGTTCAGAACACATGCTTTTTTATTTATATTACAGCAGAACTCCAATTAACATGTTTAACTTTTAGGGGCAAGTAGATGGCACTCCCAGCCTTCATTTTCTATTCCCTTGAGCCATAAAGGGGAATAATACTCCCCTCCAGTGATGGGACTTCCGCAAACTCTCTCGCCATCATCTTTGCAGTCTTTTTCCTGGGTTTGGGGTCTTCAGCCATCTTGATTTGTAACGTTGGTGTGATGTAACTTCCGAGGGAGAACAATCATCTTGGCATATGCAAAAATCGTAGACTGAGCTATGCAAGAGCTGTGAGCACAAGCCAGACAAGGATAGTGGGCTTAACTAGATGCAGAGCTCCTATTTACCTGCCCAGTAAAGCCACCCATACTGATTGACATGTTTCTGTTATCAGCATGCAACCACATTTGGGATATAAGGTTATGGTGGCGGTGACAGAGGAGAAGAGAACTCCCCTGACACTGTCCACTTAAATGCACATTCACATTAGCACAATCCCAAATTTTTTTTATGGGATATGTAGTTGTTTATGGAGCATGAAGCTAGGTCACAAGAGACACATGGCACCACAAACTACGCTCCCACCATGCCCAGGCCCAGCCTGTTTCCATTCTTGTTTCATTGTAATTACCATGTTATCAAGACAAGAAATGGTGTCTAATAAGCATGGAGAGAGGGAGGACCAGGAGCTTTTAAAATGGTATCCTGGAGTTCTGATTTAAATACAAGAGAACCAATTAGGGTTGCCACCCGTCCGGTTTTCAACCGGACAGTCCGGGTTTGGCGTCTTGTGTGTCCAGCCAGTGGGCACCCGGACACAAGACACTCAGTGCCGACACCGGCATTTTACATTTTCTGACAGATGCGTCTGTGGAGGTCTTTAGGAAGTGCAATCTCGGGCAGCCGCATCTGCCTGAACCGGATGTTTCTCTGAGCTGCCGGCAGCCTGTGTCTGTTTACAGGTGCCCGCAGCTCAGAGGAAGGGCCGGGTTTTAGGCAGATTCGGCTCCCCACAGACGCATCTGTCATTGCCTTCTCCTCCTCCAGCTCCCTGACATCGTGCTGCCCACCTGTGGACCCCTGGTGAGACACCATAGCCCATTTAGCCCACCACGAGAGCCCGCACAACCCACCAGGCCACGTGGAGACATCAGTGCGTCAACACAGAACAACACAGAGTATGTAGCTTCATATTATTTTGTATTGCTGTATAATGTATTGATGGGATTTGTAGTCCTCTCTAGCTGGTCTCATCACTCCCTCCCCTGGCTGCCTCTCCTCTATATTAAAAAAAAGAAAAAATTGCCGCGTGCGGCGCTAGAGTGTTCGGGTTTCACATGAAGAAAAGGTGGCAACCCTAGAACCAATACTCGAGAGGGAGGGAGAGGGGGGGAGTCAATACATACTACTTTTCCAACAGAGCAGTACATGATCACATTGCATGGTCAGAATATGTGGCCACAGTACAGAGTCATAGCACATGGTCACAGTGCATGGTCATAGTACGTGGTTACACAACATGGTCATAGCACATGGTCATAGTATGTGGTTAAACTACGTGGTCATAGCACATGGTCACAGTACAGGGTTACACTACACGGTCATAACAGATGGTCACAGTACATGGTCACAGTGCATTGTCACGGTACGTGGTCATGGTACATGCTCAGGGTACATGGTCAGAGTACATGGTTACAGTCTGTGGTGATAGTAAATGGTCACAGTACACAGTATCACTTACCCACTTAATCCATTACTTTGTACATTTCACAGCGTTTTTTAGAACCACAACCTGGCACTGAATTTGCTTTTTCACATTCATTATCCTGGAGGATCATACAACTGCAGAGCCATCATAGCTGGTACCCATGTATTATTTCCCATAATCCAGCTAGGCCCATGTCAGATTAGCAATCCTGTCACTGGTGGCAACTCTCTGGCAACGCGATCATGAAGTAGAATGCTCACGTGCTTCCATGGTGTCCCTCACTCACTGGCTGAAATGTTGCAGAATCTTGCTCATTAGCAATGGAGTCATGGCCATTGAGCAAATGACACCATGGAAACAAGTGAGTCGTTGTCTTTCCTTATTTTTTTGTTGCTCTCCTACCAATCCTGCGCCTGGTGAACTGCCTTTGGGGACAGAATCGCTGGTGTGTCATGGGCTGCTGAAATGTAATTGCCCCTTAGGCCACAAGCAGCCAGATCTCTCATCCCTGAGGTGTGATCATGGTTTTCAATGGAGATGGGATGTCTATCTCGTCACAATGTCCCCCAAACTTTTCACTTATATACTAATCTGCACCCAGTAAGACCTAATTACAAATTCCCAGACTATTTGGTAAAAAACAGCTTCCTCGGCAAAACATCAAGGGCACGATGGTGAAGGAGCACCGCCCATCTTGTATAACCTGTATGGATTGAAGTAAACCCAATGCAGAAACCGGCATTGCACTAGCTTAAAGAGCAACTGTGGTTAAAAAGTTTATTAACCCCTGCAGTAGAGCAACCCCTGCATTGCAAGGGTTAAGTGCTCGTTTTTGTCTACAGTTAAAAAAAACAAGCTTATACTCACCCGATCCTCCGAGCCGGCTAACTGTGACAATGCTCCCTCCAGCCTGTCTCCTTCCCCACTGCAGCATTGGTAAGTCCCCACGTCCTATACACAATGTATCAGGGACCTTAGACCGCTGCAGCAGAGGGGTAGAGAAGCTCCAGGGACCGGTCTAAGAGCTAGTCTGTTCGGAGGAATGGGTGACTGTAATTTTTTTCTTTTTTACCCTAGGCAAAAATGAGCACTTAACCCTTACAGTGCAGGGGTAACCACACTGCAAGCGTTAATAAAATGTTTAACCGGTAGTCTGCTTTAACTGTAGAAGCAATGATTCAGGAGTAGAGATGAGCATGGGCTTGGGGCAAATCAGACCCGCTCAAAAGTGTGAACGACATAACCCCCTCCTGGCCCAATCATGATCACAAAGGGGTGGGAAATGCCTGACGTTCATAGTTCTGAGCGGGTTTGGGTGAATCCCAGGCCTCATTCATGATATTTGGGCGATCATTGCCCTTTTTTTTTTACAGTAGTAGCAAGTTACATCACTTCTACTTTACTTGTTCTCTCCAAAGCAAGTCTGACAGCTTACGCCCTATTCCTTTACAAAGCGTAGGATGTGAACACCCTGACACACCTATCTAACAGCATGATTGCAGTAGCCGGGATCGATGGAGACATTCCCCTATTATGCCCTCTCTCAATGCCTGCAGCCTATGTTATGGCAGCTAAATGTGTGTCAAGTCCACAGCCCAGCAGGAATGCAGTTTGGACAGGGATGGGCAGATAAGACAGGCCTGCAGCTTGTGTCACATTGCTATGTATGGCATGTCGACGCTGCAGCTTGGGAGGAATGTAAGGTGTGTGTGTGGGGGGTGCCTGCAGGCCGGCTGCTTGTAATTACAGGAAATTCACAAAAACAGATCAGGTTATGAGAGTTTCAATACTGGCATATAACAGGGACACCAAAGGGTTCAACTTAGGGTTGCCACCAGTCCGAGATCGCGCTTGCTGAGGACCTCAGCATCTGTCAGAAAATTGAAAGTGCCAGTGTCAGCACTGCAGGGATCCCAACCTGAAAGAAGCACTTTCAGGGAGGTGTCCCTCTCATTTCCGGGAGGTGCTTTCCCCCCCCCCCATTAGGTAATGCACCCGCTCACTGCTGCTTTCAATCAGCAGAAGAGGACCTGATAGAAAAATTCAGGTCCCCCTCTGCTGATTGACAGCAGCAGTGGGCGGGTGCATTAGCTAGTTTGCTATTGGCTATTGCAGAGTGCATGTTTCTCTATGTCTATGTCTATGGACGCACACAGCCGCTGCGAGGACGAGCGGGGACAAGTGCGCACGGGTGCCTCCATTAGAACGATGGTGGCACCCGTGCAGGGGTAAAGCATTGCGGGGACCCACTAGAAAACGAAGAATGAAGAAGCAACAGCCTCCAGCAAAGGAGGGTCTCCTTAAAGGAGAAATGAAAAAAAAAAACGTGGCTTTAATATCACTTTAACTATTAACAAATATGTATCTTATTTGTGTATCACACGGCTGTAGATCCTCAAATCATCTCTGAATTGGTGCTGACACTGTCCTTCCTTCTGGAGGGTGGCTACTTTTCTTCCCCATGGTCCCTGTGTGTGTTGTGACGTAGTCACTGCTCCAAGCTCACTCCTGTCATGGACTACAATCTCAATAAAAATGAGTAAACTAAACGTGAGATTGTAGTCCATCACAGGAGCGAGCTTGGAGCGGTGACTACTTTACAACACACACAGGGACCATGGGGAATAAAAGTAGCCACCCTCCAGAAGGAAGGACAGTGTCAGAGATGATTGGAGGATCTACAGCCGAGTGATACACAAATAAGATACATTATTGTTAATAGTTAAGGTACTTTAATGCATTTTTAAGATTTAACTCCTGAGTTTAGCGTCTTTTTAAGCTTTGAAGTGCACCGGAGATTGAAGTATGGTTATGGTAATGAGACGTCCTTTGTACAGTAACCAGCGACTTATGGCTCAGGTTAGTGTGGAGTTGTTCTTTCAGGAAGGTACAGTGACCAATCAAAACATAATTTTTAGCCATCACAGAATACACAGAACTGATAAAATCTGGTTGGCTGCTGTGGTTTATTACACATCACCGCTAGTCTCTAATGTTGTAATAACATGACAAGAAGTTGGGTAACCCAACGTACCTTCACGAAGGCGAATGCAGGGCCTGGCTTCAGAGGTTCCTCTTCATGCTCCTGTTGATAGAGGACGTACTTTTCCACACCATCATCCTGATACATTTTCCTCTCCTCCACCATGTTGAACAGGACCCGGGATGATACCGCGATGGTTATTGCATTCTGCGGCTTGGGCTGGAGAGAAACACAAATGCAAATGACCATTCATTTCAGGCTTATAGGATAATACCATGCAAATTGTAATAGGGTGACAACCTGCAGGGCTGGACAAACCTGCACACCAATCCCCGTTACGGTGGCCCGGTTGTAAGATCATGAAACGTTTTTTTTTAATACTTGCTGTCAGTCTGTGAGTGAAACAGAAAATGACTGCAGATGACACTGCTGATCACCCTGGTCTATGGTGGGCTGTGCGGGGTCTCAGGTGGGCTGTGCGGGGTCTCAGGTGGGCTGTGCGGTGTCTCAGGTGGGCTGTGCAGGGTCTATGGTGGGCTATGCGGGATCTCAGGTGTTGGGCTGTGCAGGGTCTCTTTCCCGGCAGATCTGTGCTGCTCCTTTTACCTGCAGCCTGAAGTGCCTTCAGTACCAGCAGGACACATTGCAGCCCCCCAGCCTGCCTCCAGGACATCCCACCGTCGGATCGTATGCTATGGCCAGCCCCGATTCGCCCGCTGCTTCTCCTCCACCTCCTGTACAAAGCCAGCCGGAGTGCATTTCACTGGGCTCCCCCCTCATCCACAGGGAAGCTCACTAACTAGGAGGCCACCTAATTTGCCTGATTAGGCAGCCGCTGCCGCTGCCTGATTCTGTGCAGCCCCAATGGCCAGTCTGGCCCTGACTGCCTCACTGATTTGGGCGTGGTGTTTTTTTGCCGCCCCACTGGAAAGTTCTGCCCAAGGCAAACGTCTGCTTTGTCTTGCAGTCCATATGCTCCTGGGTTTAGGTGTTTACACTAGCTGTAGTTAAATCAGTTTCATTATTATATAACTGCATTCATTTACTATTTTTGTAATCTGGAGTTATGGGATAAGCTGATTGGCTGCAAGCGCTGTTCAGCTGAGAATTTTCGGATCAGTCCCTTAAACAAATGTTGATGGAAAAATGGACTTTTGTCAAGTAGAGATGCACCAGTAGAACCACATACTGCTTGACATTCGAGCAGTGTATTGCCAGCTTTACAGTAGACCGTTGTCACCACAATAAGTGTCCCCATTAAAGATTTCCCCTCTGTTCCTGTTCTTGTGACAGAAGATTTTCCTTCATGGTCAGTCCCAGTGACAAAGGTCATTAGGACAAAGAGAAAGGATGAGCACAGAGAGCTGGCAGATTTAATAACCACTTTAATTTCTTCCCAAAACTAAAATAAAAGTTTGAATACACATTAGTTGTACCTCTGAAAAAGCCGGAGGAAGGGTATTAGGAAGTTATACTCATCATTTAGACCGGGCTTGCCAAATTTCGACCCTCCAGTTGAGGTGAAACTACAAATGCCATCATCCATCTGTCTCCAGGAGTCATGCCTGCGGCTGTCAGAGCCTTACAATGCCTCATGGGACTTGTAGTTCCACCACAGCTAGAGGGACAACGTTTGGCTACCTTTGCTTTAGATCAGAGGTGGGCAACTCTTGCCCTCCAGCTGTGGTGGAACTACAAGTCCCATGAGGCATTGCAAGACTGACAGTTACTGTCATGACTCCCAGTGTCATGTTGGGATTTGTAGTTATAGCACAGATGGAGGGCCGGAGTTGGCCACCCCTGATCTAAAGCAAAGGTAGCCAAACGTTGTCCCTCTAGCTGTGGTGGAACTACAAGTCCCATGAGGCGTTGCAAGACTGACAGTTACAGAACTGACTCCTAGAGACATCCCTCTCTTCCGGATAGCAGGACCATCGCTGGAGAATTTCATTTTATGCACTTTCACTACAAGAGCGATGCCCCTAGTTTCTCACGAATTGATAGACCTCATCCTCCTATTGGTTCTGACAACCATGTCCGCCTATTTCTTTGGCACCAGGTTACCCAATATGCATTTATGTTTCTGTACTTACCAGCTTGGGCTTCTTCTTGGGGGCGATGCTGTCATAGAAAGCCTTGGCCTCGCTGCTGCTGTGCTGACCCAACGTCTCCGTCTTGGGTGACGGCTGAGTAGTGTCCGGGGCAGGATTATCTTTTGCAGTGCTCATGGCGTTCCAATTTCTTTGCAGCACTCAGATGACTCGTTCACCGTTCCCGAACCAAAGTTTCGCTTCGAAGGGGGGCTCAGTTTCTGTGTCTGCGAAAGCCGGTGATCTGCGTAGGGCGATCTGCACGGTGCTCGGTGACAGAAACCCTGCAAGGAGTAAAGTGAAAGTTTCAGTAGCTGCTATAGATACATTGAGATGCTGCAGAGAGTGTGACACTTCCGCATCAGACTCATAAAAGATGAACCAACGCCCTCTGGTCATGACTCACCAAGGGAGGGGGGAATCCTCTGTGACATGCAAAGGCTGTAGATGGATCTGCTGGGTGAATGGAGGAAGTATCCGGGGTTGTGGGTCTGAGCAGCCAATGATCTGGAAGTAGTACAGAGGATGAGAGGGGGGTCAGCTGCAGTCCTTCCCACTGCAGAGTTTACACACCTCTCTCACTGCTCTGCTGCTGCTACTACACAGCCTGTGCAAAGAGATAAAGTCAAAGTGCAACGTTGTAACTAGAAGAAGAACTCGGCTTGCTGCACTTGCAACATTTTTATTTGTTATAGGCATTCATACAGCTGCAACAGTTCTGCGTAGCGCTTTACATACTGCACATTCACATTCTCACACAGATAGGAGCCAATTACCCTTCCATGTGCACCATGCAGTGGCGGCACCAGGGTGGGTGTCACCGGGTGCCGCCGCCACGCATCCGTTATGACGTCCGTAGTGTGACATCATCACATCTTGGTGATGGACGCCAGCAAAGATTGGAGGGGATATTGACCCGGTGGGATCAGTTATCAGGGATCCCAACCTGAAAAAAAGAAATTTCAGGGAGGTTCCCTTCTCATTTCAGGTAGGTGCCCTCTGTCCCCCCCCCCCCCCCCGCCACCCCAACACCCGCGCACTGGGGTGCCTATGTAAGAAAAACAATGATTGCACCACACATTGGCATCTCCACACATGCCGGGGTGAGGGCAACTATTGTATGGCCTTAATTTACTGTTAACTTTGCATGGATGACTTGTAAAGGGTTTTAAAGTGTCAGGTTTTAAAGTGTCACCTATGGACAATTTTGGGTACCGTAGCTTGTCACAGTTTTGCAGGTGTGTGTGTGGGGGAGCACAAATATAGCGGGAGACTCCCGGAAAGTCCAGGCGAGTTGGAATGTTTGAGTTATGCTGCCGAGTCCCTCCCTCTCTCTCATGCTGTCGGGCCATGACAGAGTGCCCGACTTTTAAGAAGGAGGTGACACCAAAATAACTGTCAGTCATTTTGCTGTCATCCCCTCTGATGGTTATAAAATGAGTGACCACTTTGCATGCCTGACGAAGGAACCGGATAGGGTTCAAAAACATTGCCCTTATATTATGAGACCACCTTGATTATGTCAATAAAGTAAAATTGACGCAAGGAATTTCGGAGCGCCAGTGATTACTTCATTTTAAATGGATCAATTGGCGGTGCCATCCGCTTTCAGTGTTGCACCCACAATTACTTGGAATTCATTCCGGTGAGGAGTGTGATGGGATATGGACACAGTGCATTTAATCTGAAATGCAGAACATTAATCTGCATTTCAGATTAAATGCACTGTTTGATTTATTGGACACTTATCAAGTCTCATAAGAGACTTACACTGTGAACTTTTATCACCTTGGATTTAAATTATTTATTGGAGGTTGTTTATATTTGTTTTCAGCATTTAGACACACTTTTTGTTTGATATATTGTTAAAGGAGAACTATGGGGTCAGGGATTTTCCCCATAGTTCTCCTTAGGGTAACGGGAAGACACAAACTAGCGTCCTCCCGTCACCCTAAGCTCAGTATACGGCGGTATACTGAGATGCCGCAGCCGGAGCGGATCCCGACATCGATGTCGAGATCCGCCCAGCTGCAGAGAGCCATGACAGGATCGAGAGGTGAGCGAACCCGGTATGTGTTCGCTCACCTCCCGATCTACTGAGCCGACCTGTGACAGTCTCATTGTCACAGGTCGGCTAGAACTATGAGGTGAGTGAAAAGCACTCACCTCATAGTTCCCCTTTAAAAGAGGTTCAGCGTGGTGCATTGTTTTAAGGATTGTCATTACATTGTTTGGGTAGGGCCCGGGTAGTCCAAGTAATGAAAGGAACCTATTTATAGCTTAGCAGCGTTTCCCTGCAGGGCTGCATTGTAAACATACGCCTAGTCTTCAGTTGCAGGGAACCTGTAGGGGAACAATTTAAGTGAAATTTAGGAGAAATACAAATTCAATGAAATGCAAAAGGCCATGCAAAGTTTTTTTTTTTATCAGTGCCTAAAGCATGGTATACCAGGATATAAGAGGAGCTGAGATCCCTTACATGTTTCATGCACATGCGAGCTTAAAGTGACACTAAACTCAGGAATTAAATCTTAAAAATGCATTCAAGTACTCCAACTATGAACAACAATGTATCTTATTTGTGTATCACTCGGCTGTAGATCCTCCAATCATCTCTGAATTGGTGCTGACACTGTCCTTCCTTCTGGAGGGTGGCTACTTTTGTTCCCCATGGTCCCTGTGTGTGGTGTAAAGTAGTCACCGCTCCAAGCTCAATCCTGTGATGGACTACAATCTCAATACAAATGAGTAAACTAAACATGATTAGGAAACTAAACATGATTAGGAAACTAAACCTGAGATTGTAGTCCATCCCGGGAGTGAGCTTTACATTTTTAAACTGAAGCAGCTGCCTGAGGTCCCGTGCTTGCTGGTGCCTTTCTGTGAGCCATGTGGCACCTATTTACATCACTGGGTGCACATCTCCTTGTTCCTGGGGAACCCCACAGACCCGCACCTGCCCATGAGATTTTCCGGACCCTGGTAAGACCCCGCACAGCCCTGGCGAGACCCCTCATAGCCCTCGTGAGACCCCGCACAACGCTGGTGAGACCCCCACACAGCCCTCCCGAGACCACACACAGCCTTCCCGAGACCACACACAGCCTTCTCGAGACCACACACAGCCCTCCTGAGATCCCCTGCTGGAGACATCAGGCCGACACCCCGGAGCAGCTCAGAGTATGTAGCATCATATTATTCTGCATTGCTGTATAATGTATTGCTGTGATTGTAGTCCTCTATAGCCGGTTGCCATTTGGCATTTCTGTATAATGTAGTGGTGGGATTTGTGACCTCTATAGCGATGGTATTATCCTGCAATGTATTGCTGGGATTTGTGGTCCCTATGTCTGGTTGCCATTCAACATTGCTGTATAATGTAGTGGTGGGATTTGCAGTCCTCTGTAGCAAGGCTATTATTCTGCATTGCTGTTTAATGAATCGCTGCGAGTTGTAGTCCTCTATAGCCACTGCCATTCTGCATTGCTGTACAATGTATTGCTGAGATTTGTAGTCCCTCTATGGCTTGGAGTCAGTGGCAGACCTACCAGGGTCGCAGCTGCAACCAGGCCCTGGCACTTCACCACTATCATCAAATCAGTGTGAGGTAGCAGGGCCATTTGTGCACATTCCACGGACTACCCGGGTGCTCTGTGAACATACATGAAGACATCTTCAACTTCCTTCTTTGCTATGTCTGCTTGGTGTTATAGGTGAACACATGACCATTCAACAATCAGTTTTAAAGCAGACTAGTAGGATGCCCCGCAACAGACAAGGGATCCCGGAAACTGCATGAAAAAAAGAGAAGACACCGGGCGCCTAACCTGGTGCAATTATCCTTTTATTGAAAAAACTGTGCATATAAAAAACACATACTCACAAATGGAGCAAGAACAGTGACACAGTAGACTTGTAGTCCTCAATGAATGAACCGCTGCACAAATGTATGAATGTCCACGAGCTCTACTCGTAATGAGTCTTACTTCCACTAAGCTGAACGCGTTTTTGGGAAACTTCCCCTTCATCAGAGATCTGAACCGGGGTAGGCAAACTCGGGCCCTTCAGCTGTTGTGGAACTATAAATCTCATGAGGCATTGCAAGACTCTGACAGCCACAAGCATGACTCCAGGAGGCAGAGGCATGATGTGATTTGTAATATCACCACAGCTGGAGGGCCTACCCTTGTGATGGGACGGGCAACTCTGGCCCTCCAGCTGTTGTAGACCTACAAGTCCCATGAGGCATTGCGAGACTGACATTTACAGGCATGACTCCCAGAGGCAGAGACATGTTCGGATTTGTAGTTAAAACACAGCTGGAGGACCGAAGATACTTACCCCCTGCTTTGGAGGAAGAGGTTGTAACATTTAAGCAACAGTGTGACCTGATAAAACATTTAATTATTCATATTAAAACTGGGGTAGGCAAACTCGGGCCCTTGAAATGCCTCATGAAACATTTAATTATTCATATTAAAATGCCTCTGCCCCCATCCTTCCTTCCCTCCCATACCTCTCCAACCCCATTTTTTTATATTCTTTAAAACTCTGGCAAGACAAAAAAAACCCTTGCAGTGGAGCTGCATAGGTATAAATAACAACAATAACCAGACCGTATGAAATATCCGGTTTCATGTCCTTAAAGGCACTATGAACCGTAAACAACATTTTGCATCTGTGGCCATATTTTATGCATGATGCCCCCAGCCACAATACACAGCCTCTGGGATGTTATTAATTGACTGCAGACCCACACTGGTCCCTACTACCTGGTCACAACTGGTGGAGGACACCCACACTTAAGGTAATGCCATAAATCACCTGCATTCCATACAGCGTTGCGACCATAAAAGAATGGTGGTGCTCATAGTGAGGTCATGGATGGCGCCGTGCAGAATTTGTAAAAACAAGTACATCACCAGCACATATGGGATACAGCTTTAATGGGTCCCTCATTCATTTATCAATACCCAACAGCAGACAAAAACACCTTCAAGGATCCAAACCATCAATCAACAGTTGTGGTTGGTTACAAACCATTCCAAACATTATTATTACACAGGATTTATATAGCGCCAGTTTGCGCAACACTTTACAATATAAGGAAGACATTACAGTTACAATACAAATCAAGACAAGATGGGAAGGCGGGCCCTGCCCGTGAGGGC